ACCAGCCATATCTCACCATTACTAGGTATTTTTTGAGACACACCTAGCTAAAGCATAATTCCTTTAAGCAACTGTAGAAGTCTGGGACCAAGAGAACACTGCTTATATCAGGGGTGGGCAAAATGCGGCCCAGGGGCTAGATGCAGCCCACCGGGCCATTCTGTCAGGCCCGCGGGCCCCTAAAAAATTTAGAAAATTAATATTCATCTGCCCCTGGCTGCAGGTCATGCGGCTTTCGATGGCTTGCCAAAACTCAGTAAGTGGCCCTCCACCCAAAATAATTGCCCTTGGCTTACATAATCAAACAAAAAAGAAAGAGCATGCTACCTTTAATTCACTGAACCACACCCTGTCTGTGCAACCATACCAATGTAGTTGAGCAGCTAAGAAATATTTAGGAATTAATCCTCTCACAATTCCTCACCTCCATTTGGACCAAGACACACAAAGATAAGAGACTTGCCTCCAACCACAGAGGAAGAGACTTGAACCTGAATTCCCAGGCCAATCCCCCAATGATGATGTGATGGGCTAGCTAGTAATGATTTGGCCCAGGGGTTTTGAAAGGGTAAAAGATGATTGGAGGGTTTGGGATTCCCTTTCCTCACCAATCAGGCCCCAGAGACTCACCCTCCATGTCCCCTGATTGGCCTGCCTGGAGGGGGATAAAAGGGGCAGTGCAGCGAGGAAGGGGTTTCAAGGAGCTAGGTCGCCCCAGAAGAACCCGAAGGAGTAGGACCTGCAGGTTGCAGTTGGACCCTCAGTAGCACAGCATGCAGCTGGCTGGAGAGGCTCCCTCTGGGCTCTAGGATCCTCTGTGAGAGGCTGCAGCTAGCAGGAGAGGTTGTCCAGCTCCAGCAAGAAGCTGAGCAGTGACCTGAGAGGTTCCTATCTCTGCTTCTAGCTCCTTCAGCAGGAGATCAGGAAGCTCAATGTGAGGCCAGGGCTTCTGGAAGGTCAAAGCCCCTAGCAGCTAAGACTAGTACCAGTACTGGTGGCTGTGTGGCAGAGTTTCTGCTTGCTGTATGGGAAGTCTGAGTTCAAGTCCCTGCTGGGATGAGTGAAGCAACAAGGAGGAATTCTTGTTGCTGTGGAAAAGGGGTCATTATATTTTCCCTCTTTTCCCCCCTCCAGGTACCTAGGCCCTATATTTCTTGTTATTTGTCATTTTGTATTTCGTGCATTTTATATTTCGCCAACCAGTATTGTTTGTTCTGCTGTTTGTGTTTTATATTTTGTTAAACCTGTCTTTTGTCAACTGGATGAATGTGTATGATTGTAAGTGCCTAATCTTTATTGAATCCTGCCCCCTCGGGGTGTTGTAGTGTCCCCTATACCCCCTGGTTTATACATGTTATGTTTCCTCATTAAAAGGTATATGGTTAAGTCTCCATTGGTGGTCTGGCTCTGCTCTATAGGGGGAGGAGGGTCCCTATACCTCCCACAGCACTTGTGTACCTGCTCTTATGCCTTCAATTGGCGAGGGGGTACATCTTGGAATACCACCTGGGTTACAACAAAATAATCTTTCCTTCCTCAGATGAGGTGGGTTTCATCCTGCTATTTTTCAGTATTAAAAAGGCTCACAGAAATCTAGGTATCTTCATTTTAAACATCACGAGTAAACTATAGACTTTGACTAGACCCTAGGGCCTAACTTTTCAAAAGAATCCAAATTTATTTTGGGGGCCCCAATTTTTGAGCACTTTCTGAAAAATCAGCTCCCTTTGAGACAATCATTGGACAATTTTGAATATTATGGTCCAGAGTCATTCAAGGGGAGGGGGCTGAAAGCAAGAGCTCTACATGTTACATTTGGCTGGCATTTTACATCTTATGTGTCATACAATACTTAGATCCATGCATGCTTTAATTCAGTTGCAAGCTAGGAAGGGTCTGAGATGTTAGGGATCAATCCATACTTGACAAGGTCTGTAGTCCCAACTGACTTTAAGGAAAGATCTTGTGCAAAGAACATGAAAGTTTGCCTGAAAGATTTTTTTTCCCATTGATTGGCAGAGAGTTTAGGGAAACTCTCCTCTTCAGAGCTACCTGTTTAAAGTGCTGTACAAACTAATCCTCACAATCTCTCTCCAAAGAAGGTACACGTTGTAAAGCTCAATATGCATGTGGGAAAGCTGAGACACAAAGAGGTGAAGTAACTTGCCCAAGGTCAACAGCAAATTAGAAACAGGACCAAGATTAAAATTCCAGGCTTCCAGACAGATAGCCTGGCACTGGTTTCCCCACCCCACCATATTTCCCAATTACTAGGAGTTAGTATCCACATAAGAATGGACATCTCCCAGGAAACACAAATCCTATTGTAGTGAGACACTGTCTCACAATTATATTTTATGAATAAACCCCAGGGAATATTTTGTGCCTGTTTTTCAACGAGTAAATAACTTGGCCGTTTAAAAAATAATCTGAACAACTGGAAAGGCACCATTACCTCGCCGTGCAAATGCACTGCTTATACGTCATTTTTAAACGATGTATGCTCAAATAGAACAAAAACAACTGAATTAAGAAAACAATGTTTTTGTTAGATTTACAACCAGTTTTACCTGTCGAAGCCCTTTTCACAAATCACATTGACAAGAAACTGCATCCGGGTTGATAACGTGTGCACCGAGCTTTAATCCCTTATTAGGATGAAAGCACTTAATTACACTGCACCGGAATGAAGGTTGTACTCAACAGACTTCCAGCATGGCACTCTGCCGGGTGTACCAAAGAAAAAGTAGGTTGGAGAACCGTATTGTTTCTACCAAGAATAGGCAGAACATACCTTTTGGCCCAAAGTCTTTGATCAGGGATATTCCAGGTTTTTCCTAAGTGTCTCATGTGCTGGCACTCCAGGGGATATTTGACTGAAACAATGGCCATTGCATAAAATCCTGTCGTCTGACTCAGCAGAGGTAAGATCGGGTTCAGGATGTATTTACTCCTGATTAGGGAAAGTTTTAAGCGGAAAGCTGCCAAGCACTTGAACCTTAGTTGCATAAATTACACCTTTAAAATACATTAGCTTCTCAAAGTCTTAGTATAGTCTTGCCTGTGGCACAAACCCGTGTGAAAACGGTACACGTGCGATGGACGTGCCCCCCTCTCTCTGCTTAACCTTCAACTACATTATTTACCGCTGCTCTGGAAGGTAGTTTGTACAAAAGGCATTGGGACCCCTACTCTGAGTAAAGCTGCCCGGTGTCTAAGCAGGACTAAGCCATAAAAACGCCAGAGTGGAAAGTTCCCACTTGTTTTCCTCCAGAAAGATATACATGTGTTTTTGCCACAGTGACAGCTCTGCCTCTTTCCCTAGAAGAAGCGATCGGCGATAATTGTTTTGCTGGAAATGGAGGAACGCTTCTGCAAATCACCTGCAGCCCAGCTCACCTAACACCCTCCCCTTTGCCAAAAATGGGTGAGTGCGAGTGAAGAGCGGAGCATACACCTGGAGTAAAGTCCATCGCAGGCTTTAGAAAAGAAAGGCGATCCGAACTCGAAGAAATGTAACAAGCAGTCGGGAGAGATGGAGACACAGAATAATTCAGGGACTGTCAAACACGTATTTGAAGTGAATTATAGATGTAATGATAAACAGCTGAAACCCCCCCTACAAGTTTAGCCTGATAACAGAAAGAACTCTTTAGAGGTTGCAAAGCAGTAAATTAATCAGTCGCGGCTCCCAGTTCAGCATGACTTTTCAAAGATAAGTATCAGACACTCGGCTGGTTCTCGCCAGGGAAGGAACACGGTGAGTCACCTGCATTCCAGGGGAAGTCTTCACCCGCAGACCTCTCCCACGTGCCAGACCTGCCGCACTCCCCCCAGGCAGAAGGCAGGGCTGGGTACCGCGGGAGAGAGCATCATAGCACACCCACAGTTCTTGAATAATCCTATGAGTAGGAGCGCGAATGAAATATCCCGGGGGTTGAATCCAGGGTCTCCCCTTGACTACATCTCCATAGCAAAGGCAGCGGGACAGCAGGGATCTCCTTGGGAAGTGTCCGTACCGGTCTAAAGAATTTGCATTGCATCAGCTAGGCTAGGGCTGGTTCAGTCTGGAGCAGACTACAGCGTCCTCTGTTCAAATCGGAGAGAGAAAACAGCTGTAACCTTCACAAGAGCTATGTATCACGGTATTGTAAAAAGAGGTATTCAGGGAACGCGGGCAAAAGCCCCGATACCGGCAACACACGTGCACAATTTCACCATCCTCCTTATTCACAGTAGAGAAGTTAAGCACAGGATAAGCGTAAGTGTAGGAAGATCCGAGTCAAATGGTTCGGGGCAGCTTTCCCCCTAAGCAAAAATTCCCCCACGGTATTTTTGTTATTTTGGACTGTCTCTACTCTAACAGTAATATTTAAACTTCGGAGTGTCAGCTCTCTATATACACACTTCTTCAGGTATATGTATATATGTATGGGTGTACGTGTGTATATGTGTATGCATACATATGTATACGTGTGTGTATGTATATACCTGTATATATGTGTGTGTATGGCTGTATATATATCTATGTATATGTGTGTGCGTGTATGTGGATGTATATACATGGATACGTGTATGTTTGCATGTATAGGTGTGTGTATGTATATGTATATTATGCATGTGCAATATATATGTGGGTGTATGTGGATGTATATACATGCCTATGCGTATCTCCGCATGTGTGCGTGTATGTGGATGTATATACATGGATACGTGTATGTTTGCATGTATAGGTGTGTGTATGTATATGTATATTATGCATGTGCAATATATATGTGGGTGTATGTGGATGTATATACATGCCTATGCGTATCTCCGCATGTGTGCGTGTATGTGGATGTATATACGTGTCTGTAATGTGTATTGCAGCCGACCCTAAGACGATCGCTACTACCCCAGAAAGCAGAGTCAGAAAAAATGACTTCGGATGATCTTCTCACTTTAGTTAGTAAAAAGCCTGGTTCTAGTGAAATGATTCTCTACAATCCATGTTTCACCTTTTTACACATTTTTTTATTCCCAGAGCTGTTTGGCTGTTGCAAGGGATCGGGTCTGGCTAGCAGGCAGAGAGCGAGCGATCCCCTGAGCCGCTGGGGCAGCCCCGCAGGTAGGCACTGGCAGCCTGCTCCTGCCCTCGCATCCCGTCCAGACCCCTGGGCTCAGCCAAGCCTGCAGCACATCCCCCGACCAAACGCCCACCCCCGCCCTGTCTTTGCTAATCGTACATTTCCCCTCGTCTTGGCTGCCCCCCCTCGAAGCCTCGCTGGGGGGGAGGGGCAGACGCGCCGCCCACTTCCCCCGCTATAAGAGGGCGAAGCTGAGCGCCGGCCAGGCAGTGGTTCCTCCTGTGGCACGAGGGAGACTTGAGTTTTTCCTGGGCTTTCTGCAAAACCTTCCTGCACAAACATCACTTGTGGCGTTGGGCTCCGCGGCTGCCAGCAACTTTGCTCTCTGGGATTATCGACACCAGCAGGTACGACCCTTTCTGCGCGGGGGCTGGAGGAAGGGGCATTTCTCCTGGCAGGGCTGGAGCTTGCGGAGCTGCCTCTTGGCACTGACTCCGGGCATCAGCGCCCAGCCAAGCCCGGGGGGCTGCCCGGGGAGGGGGTGCAGGCAGAGCTGCAGCCTGAAGGGAGGAGGGGGCTGCTGCAAGCCCGGGTGGGGGGTACTAGTAACAACCCCGGTCCCCCCGCGCGCTGTCTGCCCCGCTCCTGCCCTGTGGACCCGGCGATCGATGGCAGAGCAAACATGAGCCTTGCCCCCCGCACCGGGGGCTGCGAGCCGAGCCCGTCCCCGTGTCTCACCCCTTGTCGCGCCCGCCCCCGCCAGGTCCCGGCCGCCGCGATGAAGCTGCTCCACGTCGCGCTGCTCTACCTGGGCTCCGCCACCTTCCTGGGGGCCGATGCCGCCAGCCTCGACGTCGCTTCAGCCTTCAGGAGAAAGTGAGTGTCCCCGCTGCTGTCCGGGCTTGGGGCGGGGGGATCCAGACTGGGGGAGATCCAGGCTAGACTGGGCTGCGGGGATCTGGGCTGGGTTGGGGGATCAGGGCCGAGCCGGGCTGGAGGGGACCTGGGGGTGCTGAGGGGATCCAGGCTGGAGGTGGGGTAGGGAGGGAATCGGGGCCGGGCTTGACTAGGGGGATCTGGGAGGCTGAGGGGATCCAGATTAGGTTGGGGGTGTGTGGAAGGGAATTAGGGCCAGGCTGGGCTGGAGGGGCCCCGGGCTGAGGGGGTCCAGGCTGGGCCGGGAGGGATGGGATCAGGGCTGTGCTGGGGGGATGCGGGCTGCGATGCGGGGCTGACGGCCGTGCGCTGCTTGCTCCCAGGTGGGCTCGCTGGGCGCTGTCGCGGGCCAAGCGAGACGTACCGGCTGCCCCCGCCCCGGCCGGTCCGGCCGCCGTGCAGCCCTTGGTGCGGCCCGAGGACGTGAAGGAGGAGGCCGGGCTGTGGCATCTCAGGTGAGGCCCCGGGCGCGGCGGGGGAGGGAGCAGGGAAGC